TTGAAAACCTGTAAGTGTAAAGCACCCTTCTGCAAGACAGTGAGGGAGTGAATGATGGTGAAAAGTTTTTCTTTTTCAGGCCACCTCCCTTTGTGCGGAATCGGCCAGTGTGCTAATAATAAATATATATCATATACATATATATACTATATATACCTATAACTAATACTACAGAGATAATATATATATAATATTGATATATAGATTTGTATCTATGAAGGAAATCGTGTAGTCTATTCATATGCCCAGAATGTTATCAGTTTTTAAGAGACCCATAAATTTTTGGTTGACAACTGGATGTGTGACGCACGAGCAGGGAGCACCTAGTGTGGTCACCACCCCAGCACGAGCAGGGAGCACCTAGGTTGGTCACCACCACGAGCAGGGAGCACAGTGTGGTCACCACCACAGCAGGGAGCACCAGGTGTGGTCACCACACGACAGAAGCACCTAGTATGGTCACCACGAGCAGGGAGCGATCTAGGTGGGTCCACCACGAGCAACGGGAGCACCTAGGTGCGGGAACCACGACAGGAGCACCAGGTATGTCCCTCGAGCAGGAGCACCTAGGTGTGGTCACCAGGAGCGGAGCACCTACGTGTGAATCAACCACGAGCAGGGAGCCACCTAGGTGTGATCACCCACGAGCACGGAGCACCTAGGTGTGGTCACCAGCAAGGAGCACCTAGGTATAGTTACCCAGCAGGAGCCACCTAGTGTGCATCACCACGAGCAGGAGCACCTAGTGTGGTCCCACCCACCCCACGAGCAGGGAGCACCTAGTGTGGTCACCACCACGAGCAGGAGCCCTAGGTGTGGTCACCACACGAGCAGGAAGCACCTAGGTGTGGTCACCACACGAGAGAGCCAGGGAGCACCTAGGTTTGGTCACCACCACGAGCGAGGAGCGACCATAGTTGTGGGTCACCACCCGAGCAGGACACCTGAGGTGTGGTCACCACCAACGAGCAGGAAGCACCTAGGGTGTGGTCCCACCAACAGCAGATGCACCGGTAATGGTCACCACGAGCAGTCGGAGCCCCAAGTGTGGTCACCACGAGCAGCGGAGCACGCTAGGTGCGTAACCACGAGCAGGACACTAGCGTATGGTCACCTCGAGCAGGGACACCTAGCGTGGGTCACCAGGAGCACAGGAGCCCTACGTGTGATCACCACGAGCAGGGAGCACCTAGGTGTATCACCACAACGGGAGCACCTAGGTGTGTCACACGAGCAGGGAGCCACTAGGTAGGGGGGTTTTACCACCGCACAGGGAGCCCTGGTGATCACCACGACACAAGGGAGCACCTAGGTCTGCATCCGACGGCAGGGCACTCCTAGTATGGTTACCAACGACGCAAGGAACACCTAGGTATGGTCACCACGAGCACGGAGCACCAGGTATGGTCACCACACCACGAGCAGGGACACCTAGGTATGGTCACCACCGAGCAGCGGACACCTAGGTATGGTACCACAACGACCAGGAAGCCCCTACGGTATGGTCACTCCCCACGAGCAGGAGCACCTAGGTTATGGTCACCACAACGACCAGGAGACACCTAGGTTGGTCACCACAACGACAGTAGCACGCTAGGTGGTGGTCCACCACCACTAGCAGGGAGTACCTAGGTATGGTCACAACGAACAGGGAGTACCTAGGTATGGTCACCACGAGCAGGGAGCACCTAGGTATGGTCACCACCACGAGCAGGGAGCACCTAGGTATGGTCACCACCAGAAGCAGGACACCTATGTATGGTCAACCACCACGAGCAGGGAGCACCTAGGTATGGTCACAACCACGAGCAGGGAGCAGCTAGGTATGGACACCACCACGTGCAGGGAGCACCTAGGTATGGTCACGACCACGAGCAGGGAGCACCTATGTATGGCCACCACCACGAGCAGGGAGCACCTAGGGATGGTCACCACCACGAGCAGGGAGCACCTAGGTATGGTCACCACCACGAGCAGGGAGCACCTAGGTATGGTACCACCACGAGCAGGGAGCACCTAGGTATGGTCACCACCACGAGCAGGGAGCACCTAGGTATGGTCACAACTACGAGCAGGGAGCACCTAGGTATGGTCACCACCACGAGCAGGGAGCACCTAGGTATGGTCACCACTAGCAGGGACCACCTAGGTATGATCACCACCACGAGCAGGGAGCACCTAGGTGTGGTCACCACCACGAGCATGGAGCACCTAGGTATGGTCACCACGAGCAGGGAGTACCTAGGTATGGTCACCACCAGCAGGGAGTACCTAGGTATGGTCACAACCACGAGCAGGGAGCACCTAGGTATGGTCACAACGAGCAGGGAGCACCTAGGTATGGTCACCACCACGAGCAGGGAGCACCTAGGTATGGTCACCACGAGCAGGGAACACCTAGGTATGGTCACCACGAGCATGGAGCACCTAGGTATGGTCACCACGAGCAGGGAGCACCTAGGTATGGTCACCACGAGCAGGGAGCAAATAGGTATGGTCACCACAACGGGCAGGGACCACCTAGGTATGGTCACCACGAGCAGGGAGCACCTAGGTATGGTCACCACGAGGAGGGAGCACCTATGTATGGTCAACACAACGAGCGGGGAGCACCTAAGTATGGTCACCACGAGCAGGGAGCACCTAGGTATGGTCACCACGAGCAGGGAGCACCTAGGTATGGTCACCACCACGAGCAGGGAGCACCTAGGTATGGTCACGACCACGAGCAGGGAGCACCTAGGTATGGTCACCACGAAGAGGGAGCACCTAGGTATGGTCACCACGAAGAGGGAGCACCTAGGTATGGTCACCAAGAGCAGGGAGCACCTAGGTATGGTCACCATGAGCAGGGAGCAAATAGGTATGGTCACCACAACGAGCAGGTAGCACCTAGGTGTGGTCACCACCACTAGCAGGGAGTACCTAGGTATGGTCACAACGAACAGGGAGCAAATTGGTATGGTCACCACGAAGAGGGAGCACCTAGGTATGGTCACCAAGGACAGGGAGCACCTAGGTATGGTCACCACGAGCAGGGAGCACCTATGTATGGTCACCACCACGAGCTGGGAGCACCTAGGTATGGTCACGACCACGTGCAGGGAGCACCTAGGTATGGTCACCACCGCGAGCAGGGAGCACCTAGGTATGGTCACCACCACGAGCAGGGAGCACCTAGGTATGGTCATCACCACGAGAAGGGAGCACCTAGGTATGGTCCACCACGAGCAGGGAGCACCTAGGTAGGGGTCACCCAACCACGACGGGGAGCACCTAGGAAAGGTCCACAACGAGCAGGGAGCACCTAGGTATGGTCACCACCACGAGCAGGGAGCACCTAGGTATGGTCACCACGAGCAGGGAGCACCTAGGTATGTTCACCACCACGAGCAGGGAACACCTAAGTGTGGTCACCACGAGCAGGGAGCACCTAGGTATGGTCACGACGAACGTATTTACACGCACGTGGCTGTTGTTTAACTTACAACCAAAAGGACCAGGGCTCGAACCCTGAGCTGGAGGCGAGACATGGGCGAGTCTCCAGATGTCTGCTGCTGGAGTTAGTTACCTAGCAGCACACAAACACCCAGAAGTTAGTTAGTCGCCTGCTGTGGGTGACATCCTGGGTGGAAGGAGCTACTGAAGACCCTGGGAAACATAAACCACACTGCTTGGCGTCCTTGGTTTATCCTGCGGTGAAAACCCTCGGAGGTTACTGATAAAATGAAAGTCTTCTCGAAGTATCTGAGAGAGATAATTATGACGTACAGATGCGCAGGAGGATGTGAAAGATGGATTGGACCTGTTGGGTTGAAATGAGAGTGATGTGAGCGAGAATTCATCAGTGGAATGTAATGAAAAAACAGATGAAACATTGGAGGTCAGATACTACTGTCTCTGTCTTGGGTCAGCAAGGTGACCTGCGGCTCAGCACAAGAGCATTCTGATCACAGCCCAGAGGTCCTGGGTTCGATCTCCAGGATGGGTGAGATGTAAGGGGGGAAGGGGGTGGCAAGTCTTCCATATTAACGGGGTGGCTAATTCAAGTAATGGAAACTTTCCTCCCCTTCCTCAGATCAAACCAGATTACCTCTCATTCTTCAGGGAATATGTGACCCAGATGGGATAATCACTTCCTAATGAATATAATTATATTAATATTAAAAAATAATAATAAAAAAATAATAATAATAATAATAATAAAATAATAATAAAAAAATAATAATAATATAAAAATAATAAAAAATAATAAAAATAATAATAATAAATAATAAATAATAATAATAATAATAATAATAAAAAATAATAATAATAATATAATAATAATAAAATAATAATAATAATAAAAAAATAAAATAAAATAATAATAATAATAATAATAATAATAATAATAATAATAATAATAATGTGTGATGAATGGTTTGAAAAACCGACAAGTTGAAGATTGAGACACTTATGCAGCATATGGGAATCTTTATTCAGGAAACGTTTCGCCACACAGTGGCTTCATCAGTCCAATACAAAGAGGAAGGCGTAAGGAGAGAGGAGAATGAGGTTTAATCAGTCCCTCAGCCTGGAGTCGATGTGTTCAGTCCATCAATCTTGTAGAATGTACAGCATAGGGCCGTAGACGTAAGACTGAACACATCGACTCCAGGCTGAGGGACTGATTACCTCATACTCCTCCTCTCCTTACGCCTTCCTCTTTGTATTGGACTGATGAAGCCACTGTGTGGCGAAACGTTTCCTGAATAAAGATTCCCATATGCTGCATAAGTGTCTCAATCTTCAATAATAATAATAATAATTGTTATATAGTATAATACATAAATTAGCAAATAAAACACACATGCAACACTTAGGTAAGTGTTGCATGTGTTGCACATGTCTGATGTTCAGCAACATGTAAGTATGATACATCATGACCGACATCATTCATCAACTGACGAACAAACCATCAATAATAATTTAAGAATAATAATTCTTTTCCTTTTCAGATGCCAGAGGAACCTTGAGGCACTGACACGAAAACAAAAATGGCCTGAAAGTGAGGCAAGAAGTGTTCGTAAGTGGTGAAAATAGAGAATTGAAGAATGGAACACGAAAGCAAGTGAAAGGCAGCTGTGACTAACCTTGACAGGTCAGAAGAATTGACTGGTCGATTTAATTTGTGAAGAGAGGTATCAAGAGTCACAAGTTGCTGGTAACTTGCTGGACGTGAAGTGTACAGTGGGAGGAAGTAAGACAGTGACCGTGGGAAAACATTGACGACCGTGGGAAAAATATCAGTGAGAGCGGAACAGCAGCGGTGGCAGTGCAAAACAGTAGTGACAGTGATAAAAAAAATCATAGTAACAGTGATAAAAACAATAGTAATAGTGATAAAAGTTTAGACTGTCTAACTTACGTCTACCATCACTAACTTACGTCTACCATCACTGTCTAACTTACGTCTACCATCACTGTCTGAATTTCGTCTACCATCACTGTCTAACTTACGTCTACCATCACTGTCTAGCTTACGTCTACCATCACTGCCTGAATTTCGTCTACCATCACTGTCTAACTCATCACGTCTACAATTATGATGAGAATGGAGATCAGCGATGAGACAGAACTGCTCACCGGCAACAAGTGAGAGGCGAGGATGAGACAGACAGAGGAGGATGAGACAGGGGAGGATGAGACAGACAGGGGAGAATGAGACAGACAGAGGAGGATGAGACAGGGGAGGATGAGACAGACAGGGGAGAATGAGACAGACAGAGGAGGATGAGACAGACAGGGGAGAATGAGACAGACAGAGGAGGATGAGACAGGGGAGGTTGAGACAGACAGAGGAGGATGAGACAGACAGGGGAGAATGAGACAGACAGAGGAGGATGAGACAGACAGGGGAGGATGAGACAGACAGGGAGGATGAGACAGACAGGGGAGGATGAGACAGACAGGGGAGGATGAGACAGACAGGGAGGATGAGACAGACAGGGGAGGATGAGACAGACAGGGGAGGATGAGACAGGTAGGGGAGAATGAGACAGACGGGAGGAAAAGACAGACATGGTAGAATGAGACAGACGGGGAGGATGAGACAGGTAGGGGAGAATGAGACAGACAGAGGAGGATGAGACAGGGGAGGTTGAGACAGACAGAGGAGGATGAGACAGACAGGGGGAATGAGACAGACAGAGGAGGGTGAGACCCGACAGTGGAGGATGAGACAGACAGGAGGATGAGACAGACAGGGAGGATGAGGGCAGACAGGGGAGGGTGAGACAGACAGGGAGGATGAACAGACAGGGAGGATGAGACAGACAGGGAGGATGAGACAGACAGGGAGGATGAGACAGACAGGGGAGGATGAGACAGACAGGGAGGATGAGACAGACAGGGGAGGATGAGACAGACAGGGGAGGATGAGCCGGGAAGGGAGAATGAGACAGACGGGAGGATGAGACAGACATGGGAGAATGAACCTGACAGCGGAGAATGAACCTGACAGGGGAGAATGAACCTGACAGGGGAGAATGAACCTGACAGGGGAGAATGAACCTGACAGGGGAGAAAAGAAACTGACAGGGGAGAATGAACCTGACGGGGAGAATGAAACTGACAGGGGGGAATGAACCTGACAGCGGAGAATGAACCTGACAGGGGGGAAATGAAACCTGACAAAGGGGGGATGAACCTGACAGGGAGAATGAACCTGACAGGGGAGAATGAAACTGACAGCGGAGAATGAACCTGACAGCGGAGAATGAACCTGACAGGGGAGAATGAACCTGACAGGGGAGAATGAATCTGACAGGGGAGAATGAACCTGACAGGGGAGAATGAACCTGACAGGGGAGAATGAACCTGACAGGGGAGAATGAATCTGACAGGGGAGAATGAACCTGACAGGGGAGAATGAACCTGACAGGGGAGAATGAACCTGACAGCGGAGAATGAACCTGACAGGGGAGAATGAACCTGACAGGGGAGAATGAACCTGACAGGGGAGAATGAACCTGACAGGGGAGAATGAAACTGACAGGGAAGAATCAAACTGACAGGGGAGAATGAAACTGACAGGGGAGAATGAAACTGACAGACGAGGATGAAACAGACAGGGGAGGGTAAAATATGGGAGGATGAAACAGGGAAGGATGAAACAAGGGAGGATGTAACAGGGGAGAAAGTAGCAGGCAGTGTTCGGTGTACTATATAAGAACTAATGGAGAGTTGTTTACAGAGTTAGCTGTCTGGCCAACCTGTGGCGCACGCGAACCAAGTTGGAGCAGAGGCTGCTTTTGCTGATCACAGCTCTGATTATCACTCTGATCGGCTTCCTCATCGGGGTGATTGTTCTGCATGGCAAGAGTACGTAAGGCAGTCTACCTGGGGTGATTGTTCTGCATGGCAAGAGTACGTAAGGCAGTCTACCTGGGGTGATTGTTCTGCATGGCAAGAGTACGTAAGGCAGTCTACCTGGGGTGATTGTTCTGCATGGCAAGAGTACGTAAGGCAGTCTACCTGGGGTGATTATTCTGCATGGGCAAGAGTACGTAAGGCAGTCTACCTGGGTGATTGTTTTCTACATGGCAAGAGTACGTAAGGCAGTCTACCTGGGGTGATTGTTCTGCATGGCAAGAGTATGTAAGACAGCATTCCTGGGGTGATCTGCATAGCAAGAGTACGTCAGACCTGGGGTGGTTGTTCTGTATGGCAAGAGTACGTAAATTAGTATTCCTGGGGTGATTGTTTTGCATAGCAAGAGTACATAAGGCAGTCTACCCGGGGTGATTATTCTGAATTGCAAAAGTACTTAAGAAGTACACCTGGGGTGATTGTCCTACATGGCGAGAGAACATAACGCAGTAGATTTGCGAGCCCAACTTTTTAAGTAAACTAAGATACTACCATTGAGTGCTATCTTGGGTGCTGCCTTTTTTTTGGTTAATTCTTCTTTAATTGCATAATGATAATGTCACTTATCATGATGATGGGGAATCATCATTATCATCATCTTCACCATTACCTCCATCCTCACCACTCACATGTTAGCGTTCCTTAAACTGATTTTTGATTTCCTTACAGTGGAGGAACTGAGAGAGGAGTTGCTGCTGTGTCCAGAGGAACACGTCTCTTCTACCACCACTCTCGCCCCTGCTACCACTACTACCACCACTACCTCCACTGACACTCCTGACACCACTATTTCTACTGACACTACTGACACCACTATTTCTCATGACATCACTATCTCCCCTGACACCACTTTCTCCCCTGACACCACTATCTCCCCTGACACCACTTTCTCCCCTGACACCACTTTCTCCCCTGACACCACTATCTCTCATGATACCACTATCTCCCCTGACACCACTATCTCCCATGACACCACTATCTCCCCTAACACCACTTTCTCCCCTGACACCACTTTCTCCCCTGACACCACTTTCTCCCCTGACACCACTTTCTCCCCTGACACCACTACCTCCTCTAACATTACAACCACCACTGCCTCCGCCGATCCCAGCACAACTACGACAGCAGGTGGAACAACCACCACTGCCTCCGCCGATCCCAGCACAACTACGACAGCAGGTGGAACAACCACCACTGCCTGCCGCGATCCCAGCACGACAACTACGACAGCAGGTGGAACAACCACCACTGCCTCCGCCGATCCCAGCACGACAACTACGACAGCAGGTGGAACAACCACCACTGCCTCCGCCGATCCCAGCACGACAACTACGACAGCAGGTGGAACAACCACCGCCACCACCAACTCTACACTGTTGTAGATGAATGGTTCAAAGAACCGACATGTTGTTAAATTAGACACATGTGCAACTCTTGGGTATCTTTATTGAGGAAACGTTTCGCCACACAGTGGCTTCATCAGTCCATACATAGGAGAAACTTGAAGAACAGGAGGAGAATGAGGTAATCAGTCCCTCAACCTTGAGTCGATGTGGTCAGTCCATCAATCTTGAATAGACTGATGAAGCCACTGTGTGGCGAAACGTTTCCTCAATAAAGATACCCAAGAGTTGCACATGTGTCTAATTTAACAACTCTACAGTGACAGAGGAAGCATCACCGACACAGTAACATGAGTAACACAATCAGCTGATATCACTGTCACATCAACCATCATTCTTACTTTGTACCGCCTGAGCGTCAAATTTGTTGTGTACCCGCAGCAGCACATGCTGTGAACGCCATAACAAAATAACAGGATTACAGAGGCCATAATGGGTCTGTGTCAGACTCCACCAAGCGTAGTTACATAATTATGATATTGCAGTCATTCTGTGCATTTCGTCTTAAAAAAATCACGTATCATAGATTACCACTGACTTTTTGGGGGGATTATCCTAGGTAATTTACACTATGTATGATAATTGTACTTATGTGTACCTGTATATAAATAAAATTACTTTCTTATCGGTGAAGAATATAGATACCATCTTAAGATATCAGCTATCTCATCATTGTTTTGCTAAGACTGAAGTGATATTGAGTTGGATTTGTCTGAACGTGTCTCTGACATGTCAAATGTTAGACCACTCAGATACGTTCCAATATATGTGTGTCCACACATTTTACATTTCATATAATTGACCTCTCAATATAATTGACCTCTCAATATAACTGACGTCTCAATATAATTGACCTCTCAATATAATTGACCTCTCAATATAACTGACGTCTCAATATAATTGACCTCTCAATAAAACTGACCTCTCAATATAATTGACCTCTCAATACAAACTGGGCGGGGAGGACGGCGCCAGAATTTCTGTGATGAGGTGGATTAGGGGTAACTGTCTGCTGAGGTTAGGTAAGGTTTGTCAGGAAACAGGATAAGTGTTTCCCGACGTGGGTCTTAGTCATATGATAACCCGCCGGCCTTCCGCTGGCTTACCCGTCCACCCCTTTAAAAGTTATAGCTATCTGGTTGGATAGGGAGGCTAGGGGACACCTGGAGATTAATTTTAGACCAGCGCTTTTAGTACCTAAGTTAATGTGGAGATTTCGCTCAGGTAATAGATGCTATTACATCCCAAAACCATAAAAAAAGAAAACTGTAAACAAAACACGGAATGGACGGGAGTCGAACCCATTGCAAGTCAGTCCTAAACTTATTAACAAGAGCTCCGGCTTAGTCTGGGTTCCATCCTGTCCGTTCCGTGCGTAGTTGGGTTAGTTTAAGAGCTCTGATGGCTTATGGCTTATGAAGTGATTTGCTATTCAGAACCATGTATCGTTAGCCTGGACCCAAAACAGCCGACGGCGCTTTATTCCATGGTGATGTTAGTGTCTAAGACAGGCGTGTTAACGTTTAACACAAGTGTGTTAACGTTTAACACAGGCGTGTTAACGTTTAACACAGGTGTGTTAACGTTTAACACAGGCGTGTTAACGTTTAACACAGGTGTGTTAACGTTTAACACAGGTGTGTTAACGTTTAACACAGGTGTGTTAACGTTTAACACAGGCGTGTTAACGTTTAACACAGGCGTGTTAACGTTTAACACCAGGTGTGTTAACGTTTAACACAGGCGTGTTAACGTTTAACACAGGTGTGTTAACGTTTAACACAAGCGCTATGTTAAAACTGTGTGTACAATTAAGCAACGTGTGAAATATATGACGCGAGTAAATATGTTGTGGATTTTTTAAAACCTGATATTCTTATTTTCCAGATTTTACAAAAAATATACAAGATAAAGGTATGAAAAATACTTCATCACAGTGTATATATCCTTAGAGTTGTGTATATCAGTGTATATACCCTTAGAGTTGTGTATATACCCTTAGAGTTGTGTATATACCCTTAGAGTTGTGTATATACCCTTAGAGTTGTGTATATACCCTTAGAGTTGTGTATATACCCTTAGAGTTGTGTATATACCCTTAGAGTTGTGTATATACCCTTAGAGTTGTGTATATACCCTTAGAGTTGTGTATATACCCTTAGAGTTGTGTATATCAGTGTATATACCCTTAGAGTTGTGTATATACCCTTAGAGTTGTGTATATACCCTTAGAGTTGTGTATATACCCTTAGAGTTGTGTATATCAGTGTATATACCCTTAGAGTTGTGTATATACCCTTAGAGTTGTGTATATCAGTGTATATACCCTTAGAGTTGTGTATATACCCTTAGAGTTGTGTATATACCCTTAGAGTTGTGTATATACCCTTAGAGTTGTGTATATACCCTTAGAGTTGTGTATATACCCTTAGAGTTGTGTATATACCCTTAGAGTTGTGTATATCAGTGTATATACCCTTAGAGTTGTGTATATACCCTTAGAGTTGTGTATATACCCTTAGAGTTGGTGTATATAACCCTTAGAGTTGTGTATATACCCTTAGAGTTGTGTATATCAGTGTATATACCCTTAGAGTTGGTGTATATACCCTTAGAGTTGTGTATATCAGTGTATATACCCTTAGAGTTGTGTATATACCCTTAGAGTTGTGTATATACCCTTAGAGTTGTGTATATACCCTTAGAGTTGTGTATATCAGTGTATATACCCTTAGAGTTGTGTATATACCCTTAGAGTTGTGTATATCAGTGTATATACCCTTAGAGTTGTGTATTACCCTTAGAGTTGTGTATATACCCTTAGAGTTGTGTATATACCCTTAGAGTTGTGTATATCAGTGTATATACCCTTAGAGTTGTGTATATCAGTGTATATACCACTAGAGTTTTTGTATATAATGATATACCCTAAGTTGTTAACAGTGTATATA